TTCTGCAGATATTGGCAGAGGCTGGCGCTTATTCACACCATGTGGTGCTCTCAAGTGCCCCATCTCAGCAGGACGACCAGGAGGGAGCCCCTCCAAGCACAGCAGTGTTGGCACACCACATTTTGATGTAAGTGAAGCACTACATCTTGCCAGCCAAAGAATGGCCCCTCTGTAAGACTGTTGTCTCCCTCGTCTAAAATTACCCAACTTTGCTCGTCATTTAAAAAGTGACTTGGGTTGATTACTGCAGAGAATACTGTTGTTGAAAGAGCAAGAGCACACTAGGCTGTTATATGCTTTTCCTCCTCCTCCCTGGGAGGTTCCCTGGAATGGTATGACCTGGCAATCTTATCAGCAAACCCAAAACAAAATGAGCCGGGGTGAGAGGGTGCGCAGAGCTCAGACTGTCCCCCAAGACTTACTAGACATTTACAAGGCTAAAATACTACCTATTCCTTGCTGGCTACACCAGTTACCAGGGTGATTCTGTGCCATATTTTAATAAATAATATTATTATTATTATTATTTATACCCCGGCCAAGGCGGGCGCAGGGCAGCTAACAACCAATAATAAAAACAAGTTGAATGAATACAACTTAAAAACAAGATTAAAATACAACATTAAAACATTAAAACATTAAAATGCAGCCTCATCACAGGAGGAGAAAGGAAAAAAGAAAGAGGGGGAAGGAATCAAATTGACTCCAAGCCAAAGGCCAGGTGGAACCACTCTGTCTTACAGGCCCTGTGGAAAGAAATCAGATCCTTCAGGGCCCTGGTCTCATGAGGTAGAGCGTTCCACCAGGCTGGAGCCAGTGTTGAGAAGGCCCTGGCTCTGGTTGAAGCTAATCTAACTTCCTTAGGGCCCGGGACCTCTAGGGTGTTACTATTTATGGACCTTAAGGTCCTCTGTGGGGCATACCGGGAGAGGCGGTCCCGTAGGCACGAGGGTCCTAGGCCGTGAAGGGCTTTAAAGGTCAAAACCAGCACCTTAAATCTAACCCTGTACTCCACCGGGAGCCAGTGCAGCTGGAAAAGCACTGGGTGAATATGCTCCCATGGCAGGGACCCCGTAAGGAGCCTCACTGCAGCATTCTGCACCCGCTGGGGTTTCTGGGACAGCTTCAAGGGCAGCCCTGCATAGAGCGAATTACAGTAGTCAATCCTGGAGGTTACTGTCGCATGGATCACTGTGGCCAGGTTGGGGCGGAAAAGGTAAGGGACCAACTGCTTGATGCGGCGAAGGTGGAAAAATGTTGCCTTAAAGAGTTGGTTATCATCTTTAAAGCCTAAACATTAGCAGGTTAGCTGAAGAACCTACAGGTGTGGAGAACCTCTGGCACTCCAAATGTTGCTGAACTAGAATTCCCACCATCCCTGGCCAATAGCCACGCTTGCTGGGAGTTGCAGCTCAGCAGTATCTGGAGCAGTGTCAGAGCTTTAAAATTTCAGTGGTACCCTGCGCCCTGTCAAAATTTGATGCCCCCCCCTTCCATTGTTTGTCATTGCTGTGGCACCCTCTTGGCTCAGCGCCCAGTGTGGGCAAACCGGTTGTGCTCCCCTAAATCTGCCTCTGAGAGTCAAAGGTTCCCCACACCTAGTTTAAAGCTATACAAAAGTGCCCAGGCTCCGACATTGGCCACAGAAGCCTTGCTTGCAGGCGCATCGATAAGCTCCACCAGACAGGCTAGTCTAAGACGTGTTTCCACCGTGCGCGAACAAGCGAGCTTGCTGTGTGCGTGGGAGGGAGGCGGCGATCGGTGGGATAAGCGGGCGGCGGCGCGAGAGAGGGCCGCGCGGGGCTCTCGCGTCTGGCTGCGCGTGGTGCTGACGTCACGGGGCTGTAACGTCGAAAGAAACCCGGGAATCCAGGCTGCAGACAGCCAAACTTCGCCTTTTCTCTATGGCCAGCTTTCATCCTATCATATGCTAATACGTCTACGGTTGAAGCTGCGGAAGGGCGGAAGTTCCTGCGGGGAAGAACCGTCCCGGTGAGCCCCGCGATCTTGGGAAGTTGAGTTCCCCCTCGAGAACCGCCCCTCTCCCGCCGCCCTTCTTCTTCTCCGCTGCCCGCGTATGGTCCCACCGCGTAGCATCCTCTCGGCGCCCAGAGCCTGGGGGGCTTCCTGCTTGCCATGGCGAAGTGCAGCCAGCCTGGCGGCGGTAGCTGGCCCTCGGCAAAAGCTCTGCCGCTGGAGGCCCCCTTTGCGGCCCGCGGCCACCTGTCGGCCGCCTGCTCCTGGGAAGTGCCGGGCGGACCTGGCGGGAGTCCTGCGCCTCATCTCAGAGGGGGAAACCGACCGGCCTGCGAGCCCTGGGGACCCCGCTGAACGGGTGAGGGAAGGGCGCCCGAGACTGGGGGGGATACACACGCCCAGGTCGCGGGCCTTCCTGTTCTCTGGAAGGAGCCCGGGAGCCGTGGGAAGGAGGCGAGGGGCAGCCGAGACGGGGCCTCGAGGGGCTTGGCCCTCTTCCAGACCCCCCAACCCCCCAGAATGACCGCCAAATGCTGAACAAGCATCAAACAACCACAGAGGCTTCCCGCGTCGTGACTCAGCGGGCAGAGTGTAGGTGTGTTTTTGCACGAAAAGGATCCCAGGCACAATCATTTCCGGCGTCGATCCCTGCCTTGGAAACCTTGGAGAGCTCCTGCCCTCCAAGTGCAGACCCGCCGCTGTCAACTTTTTCCACATTGAACCCAAACACATTGCACTTGGGGGACCAGCTTCTTAAATCTTTGGCCATATAGTTTGCACGGTTGCACTTGGCACTGCGACCCAATTTGGATCAATTGGAAGACCAGTGGGTGTAGCAGCAGCCTGGCAAGAATAGGCTCTTGTCCTCATTCCACTTTTTCAATCCACCCTTCCCCCTCTGGGGTAGCTTTCTTACTTGCTCTAGAACAGTGGTTCCCAACCTTTTTTTGGGCCATGCCCCACCTAAACATCTCTAAAATCCTGCCCCCCCCCATGACGTATAATGCTTATTATTCAAAAAGTGAATAAGTAAAAAGTGACCTTTCCCCATCTGGCATGGTGGTGTGCCTCGAGATTTTTTTCATGAAACAAGTGTGCCTTTGCCCAAAAAAGGTTGGGAAACACTGGTCTAAGAAACAGGGTGTTTTCAGTGGTAGCCCCATCACTGTGGAACTCTCTCCAACAAGTCATGCATCTAGCTCCCTTGCTGGTCCTGTTCCAACAGGTCTTAAAGAAAGACTCTGCCACTTCAATTTGCTTTAACTGGATAGAGTTGGTGGTCTGTAATTGCTGCTCCTGATATCTATGGTGTGCGGGTATTTTTGGATGGTTTAACTGCTTTATATCTTACGTTTTATAATCTCTCTTTATATCTTACGTATAATCTCTCCGCAAAAAATAAATAAATCAGACCAACTGCTTAACAAAGAGGGGATATAATCTAACCTCCTGTGTGAGCTTTGTTCATGCAAATCAGGATGGATGCTGAATAAACAGGTTGTGTGGATGAGCCTGAGAGGGCATCAATAGCAGCAGGGAGATTTAGGGAAGTGGGCTGGTGGTAGTGTGATAAAAAGATAATACTGATCAACACATGATTTCTGTCTGTATTTTCAAGATACAAATATATAAACAATGGACAAATTACACATTTAAAACATTGGCATCTTTGGCTCATCTCAAGTTATCTTTGGGACAAAAAACTTGAATGACATCAGAAAAAAGGCACAGGAGAAGATACAAATATATTAGTGTTCAAATTCCACATTTTAGACGTTGCCACCTTGGGCTCGCCTCAAGTCCAAACGGAGTGTATGGGCCATAAAATGGCAAATGCAATTCAGTTTAAAGAAGTGTAAAGTGCATCAGATTGCCGGGACAAATAATGATGATGATGATGATGATGATGATGATGATGATGATGATAATGATAATAATCAGTGCTTTAAGAAAAAATTGTGCTGTCACTCATCATGAAGTTGTTACAGTAAGTACCACAGGTGTTGGTACTGCATACTCTTGAGTACCCCCAGAAAAAAGCACTAATAATAACAACAATTTCACATTAAGGCTCATGGGGTCTGAATAGGCAATGCCTAGCAGAGTCATCAACTAGACCAGTCCTTGAAACACAATTTTCCTAATGGTGAAGGAAAGAAGAAGAAAACCTGGCATGGAGTTGGCTGTACAAACTCAAGCAAGGTCTTACTGTGACCCTCCTGATGTTGCTGGGACTCCAGCTCCCATCAACCCTGACCATTGGCCATGCTGATGGGACTTGAAGTCCAGCAACACCTGCGTGGCCACTTGTTCCCCAACCCAGTTTTTGGGTTTCCTCTCCAAGAGCTAAGGCACACGTTATGGTCAGTCAAATCATGTGTTACCACCTGCTGGAGCCAGTGTGGTGTAGTGGTTAAGAGCAGTGGACTCGTAATCTGGTGAACTGGGTTCGCTTCCCCGCTCCTCCACATGTAGCTTCTGGGTGATCTTGGGCTAGTCACACTTCTCTGAAGTCTCTCCGCCTCACTCACCTCACAGAGTGTTTGTTGTGGGGGAGGAAGGGAAAGGAGAATGTTAGCCGCTTTGAGACTCCTTGTTACCTGCCAAGCTTGGGGAACAGTGCTGGCTAAACTGCAGAGCTGGAACAGCCAACAGGAAGATCACATTGAACCTCACGCTCCAAGGCAGATGATTAAACTAGCAGCGACTCCACTGCTGCTAAGGTAGCTAGGTTCTCATGATGTGGCTGTGGTGGCTGCTACTGCAGACCCTCGACGTGTCCCTATTTTCCAGGGACAGTCCCAGATTTGCAGAAGATGTCCCAGTTTCTGATTTGATCCTACAATGTCCCAGTGTGGTGTAGTGGTTAAGAGTGGTAGTCTCATAATCTGGGGAACTGGGTTCACGTCTCCGCTCCTCCACATGCAGCTGCTGGGTGACCTTGGGCCAGTCACACTTCTCTGAAGTCTCTCAGCCCCACTCACCTCACAGAGTGTTTGTTGTGGAGGAGGAAGGGTAAGGAGAATGTTAGCCGCTTTGAGACTCTTCGGGTAGTGATAAAGCGGGATATCAAATCCAAACTCTTTTTCTTCTCTTCTTCTGCTGGGGAGGCATGTTTGATTAAAGATACACCAGAGGTCAAGGGTTTAAAATACTCTCTCACCCACCCAACGAGGGCTTCAGCTGCACGTTGTAAATACAGTAAAGGAAAAGCTAGCTTTACTGAGTCATGTACTTTTGACCCAAAGTACAGACCATCGGAGCAGAAGAGATTTAGAAGAGGAGAGGCTCTTCTCACATATCCACAGCTACAGGTGTCTTCACTTCCTTGTATCGAATCAGGAAATAGGGGTAGCACTGGCAGCTTCTGAAGATGACAAAAATGTGTGGGTCACGGACACAATCTGTGCAGGAGTCAAAATGGGGGGAGTTTGCCTTAAACATGAGTGGCCTCTCCACCAGCGACCAGTCAGCACTTTGGCCAGGAACATGTGACGCACATTGTTCTTGGCTGCTAAGGCGTAGGTGTTTGAGTAGGAGGCATCCCTAGCAAAGTAAACACCCCGGCCAAAAACTGCGCCATGGACTGATCCTGCCAGGTCGGGGTTAAAGTTGCCTATGCAAATAGACTTGATCCGAGATGCCGCTGTGCCGTGAAAGAGATGTCTCTCCACTGAGGGATGCTCCTTTTTTGAGCGTACCTGGAACATGAGCCTCTTCTGGCTGATGGGAAAGAGAGAGAAAAAGAAAAGTGGATCATTTTATTTTATTTTAATTATTTATTAATAAAAATGGTCTATACACCACGGTGTCATAAAAATATATCACAGTGGAATGGATGCCAGGCTAAGACCAGTCAGTCCCAATGGAAGGAAGAAGCGTCGGCCAAAGAAGATAAAGAAGAAGATTGGCAAAATAAATTATTGAACTATGCAGGGCAAATTATTACAAAAAAGTAAGGTTACCAGACGTCCCTGTTTCCTGGGGACAGTCCCTGGATTTACAAATCAGTCCCCATACAAAATCCATTGAAGTTGAAAAGTGTCCCCGGATTTACTGAATTTTTTTTGGTAACCTTACAAAAAAGGGCAACTGTTTAATGCACATTTTTAAAGCTCTGTGTATAGTTTTTTACATTAGTATAACTTTTAAAAGTCACTTGTAATAAGATGAAGAAGGTTTTAAAATTGGATTGTTAAGTATATAAGGTTTAATGGACATACATGAATAAGTATATTATAATGGGACCAAGAGGGGGAGTGGAGGGAAGTCGACCAAATTATGATTAGAAATTTTTCTAGGCCCCTTTCCCTGGCGAGTATTAACCGCTTTCAATTTTAACCTGAGGACTGTCATTTGTCCAGTTTTAACTTTAACTTTAATTTATTTTAATTAATTTTGGGATGCATTTTAATCGATGGATTGCTTGTTTTTATGCATATTGTATTATTTACATGATGTTAACCGCTCTGAACCTGGCTCCAGCCGGGGAGGGCGGGGTACAAATAAAATTATTATTATTATTATTATTATTATTATTATTATTATTATTATTATTATTCATGACCAAGTGTTGAGGGAGGGGGCTCAGAGACTTTGTGGGTTCCAAGGGAAGATTTTAAGGGGACCATTGTACCATATTAGCAACTCCTGCTATATGAGGCAAACCAAACCCACTGGCTAGCACTAGGAAAGCATTACTGTATGTCATGTGTATACTAGGCTCCTCACCTCATGTACATATCCCAGAGTTGGTCATTGCGTATGCGGTAGATAGCCAGCACCAACGCCTGATCCTCGGGCAACTTGGCATGGAACAGCTTCCTCACCATCTGATGCGCTACTTCTGACAGAGTCACTTCTGCCATTGTGAAAGAAGAGCCCCCTTGAGGTGGCGGGACGCAGGCCGCAGGATAAGGCCCACAGAACAAATCTAGAGGATCTTCTCCTGCGAGAGCCAAAGTGGTCAGGGGTGGAGCAAGCGACCTGGAAGGGAAAAAGGACAAAGGAACAGGATCAGCTGCCTCTGGTTCTGCCTTGTTTGCAGGCAGACCCCTATATTTTAATAGAGGGGTGGGGGAGAGAGAGAGAGGGGGAGAGAGAGAGGCGACTGTGCAAACCTATTATTGACCAGCTGATCTCACTGACACAAACTCTCATTCAATGTCATGAATTGCACTAACTCAGTGGTTCCCAATCGGGGGTCTTTGTGACCTGCCTGTGGCAGCATTCACATAACAAAAACTACCATAGAGATACCAGAATTTTCATAAGAAGGGAGTCCATGGCTTGGTTTTTGAAAAACAACTGGGTCCATAGTATTTAGCTAACTGGGAACCTCTGCACTGATTAAGTCACCCCAAACATTTGATTGGTTTTGAAGCAATGAACTGGGGAACTTCCTCAGGGGTCAAGAAATCTTGGCCGGGTGCATCTCTCTCCCCTCTGCCCATTCTCTCTCCCAGTTTGCCACTCGCTTAGCGTTTTCCTACACCAACACCCTCTTCCGACCGCTTATCTAGCTCCACCAAGCCTTCTATCTCCCTCAGCCCCTCCCTACGCTCTGGCTGCCCCACTCCTCCTGCAACATTAGGGCCACTCAACCAATCACGGCTGGTGGCTTCACCAGCATCACAAAGCTCCTTAGCATATTATAGGTCAGATGTATGTATTAAAGGTAAGGTAAAGGTACCCCTGCCCATACGGGCCAGTCTTGACAGACTCTAGGGTTGTGCGCTCATCTCACTCTAGAGGCCGGGAGCCAGTGCTGTCCGCAGACACTTCCGGGTCACGTGGCCAGCGTGACAAGCTGCATCTGGCGAGCCAGCGCAGCACATGGAACGCCGTTTACCTTCCCGCTGGTAAGCGGTCCCTATTTATCTGCTTGCACCCGGAGGTGCTTTCGAACTGCTAGGTTGGCAGGCGCTGGGACCGAAAGACGGGAGCGCACCCCGCCGCAGGGATTCGAACCGCCGACCTTTCAATCGGCAAGTCCTAGGCGCTGAGGCTTTTACCCACAGCGCCACCCGCGTCCAGAGATGTATGTATTATCTACTTTTAATGTCGTGTGGCTTATCCAATGCATGGCTGCACTCCAAAATCTAGACATGCATCCCACACCAATCTTCCGTGTGTCCAGACCATGGCAATTCATGAGTGTGGGTCTTACATACTAGTGAGACTGTGCAGTCTAAACACACACGGAAATCAGGACAACCCTCCTCCAAACAATACACACTTTAAAACATTGGTGAGGAACCTTTTTCAAGCCGAAGGCCCATATTCCCTCTTAAAAGACCTTCTGGGGGCCGCACAGTGGTGGACGGGGTCAGAGGCAAAATTGAGCAGAGCAACAGTTGTGGCTCTTACTATTGTACTGGGAGCTACATTCCAGCTATGCAGAAGTCAGGTTTACACACACAAACACAGATACCCCTCTCCAGCCAGGCAAGCAAGAAGCATGATCACATGATCACACTTCAAGGACACATTCCAGCCAAGCAAAACACAGAGGAGGCCTGCTGAGGAGCACAGCTTAGGAAGAGTTTCAAAGCCTAGTCAGAGAAGCTTAGAAGGCTGCATTCAGCTCCTGGGCCCAAGGTTCTCCACTCCTGTTTTTAAAAAATAAAAGGTAAAGGACCCTTGGTCAAAGGCAACTATGGGGTTGCGGCGCTCATCTTGAGGGAACCGGCATTTGTCCACAGATAGCTTTCCAGGTCATAGGGTCAGGATGACTAAACCTCTTCTGGCACAACGAAACACCATGACGGAAGCCAGAGAGCATGGAAACACCATTTACCTTCCCGCCGGAGAGGTACCTATTTATCTACTTGCACTGGCATGTTTTCGAACCACTAGGTTGGCAGGAGCTGGGACAGAGCAACGGGAGCTCACCCTGCCGCAGGGATTCGAACCGCCGACCTTCTCATCGGCAAGCCCAAGAGGCTCAGTGGTTTAGACCACAGCACCACCCGCGTCCCCTTTTAAAAGGTACCTGTAACTCAGTACATGTAACTCAGTGTCGGAACTCACCACGACTGCCTCCCTTGTTCTCTTATAATGGCAATGGCGCCCACCTGAAAGGTACTGGAACTGAGTTCCGGTGAGTTTGGGCTGAAAAAAATGCCCTGTCTGTACTAAGTTACTACTACTATACCATTTTCTTAAATTTCTTCAGGGGTTAAGTTTTTTTTTAAAAAAAAGATACAATCAGAACTCTAAGTTCTTCATTAATTAACTTGCACATTGGCAACATCGTTACACAAAAATATACAGTACAGTGTTCTGCAATTCATGGGCATAAGGATTAGACATGTGCTCTCGGGTCCAGAAACTCTGAGGAGGAAGATCTGGGTCCAAACTCACCGCAAGCAGCGCACGGTAATGTCAGCTGAGCGCCAGACGGGTCGGAACGTGATGTCACGGGTGAAGCCCATCTTTACGTTGCGCTGGATAAACTGTTTGAGGTCTACATTGTAGATTTGATCTTGCACACGGAAGGCATGGTTCCACATGCCCCGCTCGAAAGCAGCGACGAGTTCCTGTGCGATAGGCTATGGAGAGAAAACACCAGAATTCCTCCCATCCTCTAGAACAGGTGTTTTTTCAAACTTTCTACGCTCGGGGCCCACCTGAGGTGGCTGAAAATAACCGAGGCCCACCAGACACAAAATCGTGGCACAGAGGAAAAGCCCGTCACAGAATGGCGACAGGTAGATGCAGAGTTTTGAATAATCAGCTGGCAATTACTAACGTCACTTTCTATGGAAGCCCTACACAAATCCAGAGCGCAGTTCCTAAGACCTTCTTTCCGGCAACTCCCACAGTCAAGCTGGTGCCAAACGTCTTGCTCTGCTTTCACAGTATCAGCGAGGCCAAGAGAGAAGGGGCTTGTCATCAAGGCAGCCCAGGACCTCCACACACACTAGCCAGTCTTGAGCCTTGAGGATGTCTCTTCTGTGTTGCTAACCAAGCGGTTTGACTTCACCCTCCATTGTCTCTTGAGACAGACGGATGAGAACAACAACAATTTTTTTGGAAATTGCAAAGTTCTTTTGCCACAGCATTTCCCTTGCAGCAATGAGTTCCCTCGCTTGGCTTCCCTCAAGCCAAATTCAGACATTTGCTCTGGAGTCAAATGTGAATCAGCCTCCCTTTTACAGGTGGAATTTGCTGATCCAGAGAAGCTCTAATTGGAGAAGACTTTTTTTCTTCCCCCCCCCTTCTCTTCCCTACATGCCTCTCAATGTATTTTCGCCCATCTCCTGTAATGTCTTTTCCCATTCTCCTCTCACAAACAAATTGTACCTTATCCACAGATAAGGTTTCTTTCATCCCTCCTTCCTGCTCCTTTCAGTCACTTCTTCCTCCTAGACAGCTTTCCTCTCTTATTCCTTTCTCTTTCCAATTAATGTAATAAGAATAAATACTAACCTTTTATCTCACTTTGCAATTTCTTTCGATACCTCCTCTGGCTCTTTTCCCCTCAGGAGAGGGAACTCTCCAGAACTGCTCTGCCACTTTTACTCACTTGCCGGTGCTGACGTTGGCCCAACCCAAATGTTATGACACAGCTAGGAGACAAGGCGGGTTGTGGCACTGAGGCCCACCATTTGAGAAACACTATCCAGGCACACCAGACCACATTCAAAGGTTCTTATTAGCACGACTATGCTAGACCCTGAGGTCAACTCTTGGGGTTTTCCTCACATCACATTAATGTAATGCACACAATCACTGTATAAGGAAAATCTTAGGAAAGCCCTTCATGAAACACACCTGCCCAACTTGTTGGCTATCCTCCCAGCTAGGCACAATACAGTGGAGCTTGCATAGCCCCATTTGAAGCCATCGTTTTGAAAATGATTTTTCTAGGTTTGTCATGAAATTGCACAGTAATTGAAGTACCCCAAATCTGTCTGATTTCAACAGGACTTAAGTGTGCCTGTTACCCTCCCAGTTAATTTTAGAGGGTGATAGAAGGAAACCAAACAATGAGATGGCTCCATAATCAATTTTTTTTGTATCTCTGGATCCTCTTACCTCATCGTATTCCAGCCAATGGCAACTTTCATTGTAGTAAACCTTCCACTCTGTAAAGAGGTAGGGACTGCAATCAGGGTTGCTGCTGTTGGACAGTCGCCTTACTTGGTCATACAGCATTATCGGTGAGAGAGCCATGGTGTTAAAGTTTAAGAAATACACGTTGTCCCTCCTGCAAGGGAAGGAAGGTAACCATCACCACCAGGATCTACGGTTGCCAACTGACAGGAGGGGAATGCCTGGCTTTGTTCTTTCGCCTTTAACTTGATTTACTGAAAACAGCTGGTGAAGCTTTTCACCGCATGGGTAATGGTATTTTTAAAAATAAGTACCGTATTTTTCGTCCCATAGGACGCACCAGCCCATAGGACGCACCTAGCTTTTTTGGGGGGAAATAAAGGAAATTTCCCCCCTTTATCCCCCCCCCAAACCAGGTCAGGGAATCCAAACCAGGTCGGGGAACAGCGGGATGGCGGCGCTCCGCCTCCCCACTGTCCCCCGAGCTTGTGGGGCTGCCCGATGTCTGCCCGAAGCGTGGGGCGCTCTGCTTCAGCGCGCCCCGCGATCCGGGCAGGAGGCTGCTATCCGCAGCCTAGGGAGCCCTGCGCACCGACCCCTCTCGCTCTCCAAGCTTCAGCGAAAGCCTCATTCGCCCCATAGGACGCACACAGATTTCCCCTTCATTTTTGGAGGGGAAAAGGTGCGTCCTATAGGGCGAAAAATACGGTATCTTCATCTAGTTTAAAAAAACAACACCTTCATATCAAACTCCTGTAAAAGCTAGTAGAAGAGTTGCTGAAAAGTTATTAACACATTTGGATCCCTTCCAGTAGGGATTCAGGCCTCATCATGGGACTGAAACTGCCTTGGTCGCACTGGTCAATGATCTCCGGTGGGCTAGGGACAAAGGTGAGAGCTGTTTCCTAGTTCTGCTGGATCTCTCAGCGGCTTTTGACATCATCAACCATAACATCCTTCTGGAGCACCTAGAGCGGCTGGGAGCTGGGGGCATTGTTATACAGTGGTTCCGCTCCTTCCTCCTGGGCGTGTTCAGAAAGTGGGGTGAGGATGAGTGTTCAGACCCCTGGGCCCTCACTTGTGGGGTGCCTCAGGGTTCTGTCCTCTCCCCCATGCTTTTCAACATCTACATGCAGCTACTGGGAGAGATCATCAGGGGGTTTGGGCTGGGTGTTCATCAGCATGCGGATGATACACAGCTCTACCTCTCTTTCAAATCGGAATCAGTGAAGGCAGTGAAGGTCCTGTGTGGGTGTCTGGAGGCGGTTGGATGGCGGCTAACAGATTGAGGTTGAATCCTGACAAGACAGAAGTACTGTTTTTGGGGGACATCAGATGGACGGGTGTGGAGGACTCCCTGGCCCTGAATGGGGTAACTGTGCCCCGAAGGACCAGGTGTGCAGCCTGGGAGTCATTCTGGACTCACAGCTGTCCATGGAGGCGCAGGTCAATTCTGTGTCCTGGGCAGCTGTTTATCAGCTCCATCTGATATGCAAGCTGAGACCCTACCTGCTCACAGACCGTCTCGCCAGAGTGGTGCATGCTCTATTTATCTCTCGCTTGGACAACTGCAATGCGCTCTATGTGGGGCTACCTTTGAAGGTGACCTGGAAAGTACAACTAATCTAGAATGTGGCAGCTAGACTGGTGACTGGGAGCGGCTGCCGAGACCACATAACACCGGTCTTGAAAGACCTACACTGGCTCCCAGTAAGTTTCCGAGCACAATTCAAAGTGTTGGTGCTGACCTTTAAAGCCCTAAACGGCCTCGGTCCAGTATACTTGAAGGAGCGTCTCCACCTCCATCGTTCTGCCCAGACACTGAGGTCCAGTGCCGAGGGCCTTCTGGTGGTTCCCTCGCTGCAAGAAGCCAAGTTACAGGGAACCAGGCAGAGGGCCTTCTTGGTAGTGGTGCCAGCCCTGTGGAATGCCCTCCCACCAGATGTCAAAGAGAAAATTACTACCAAACTTTTAGAAGACATCTGAAGGCAGCCTTGTTTAGGGAAGCTTTTAATGTTTAATAGGTTATTGTATTTTAGTGTTTTATTGGAAGCCGCCCAGAGTGGCTGGGGAAACGCAGCCAGATGGGCGGGGTATAAATAATAAATTATTATTATTATTATTATTATTATTATTATTATTATTCACAAGCTCAATCAGAGCTCCACTTCTAACTTAGAAAATACTCACCTAAATATGCATTCCCGTTGGTGATTCTTAGCAAGAGTGAATTCTGTGGTGTGATATAATGTCACAGTACTGTGCCCTACGCAGTGTCTTCAGTCGCGCTGACGGATGCCAACAAGTCTTCACTATAGTACATGTGCAACATGTACCTTGCCTTGGTGTAGCTTCACCTCCTTGCTGAAAGCTATTCTGTACCACACACTCAATGAGAGCAAAGTTGGCTATTGGGATCTTTCCTATTTCTTCTGTGATCTGTCCATGCAAGACCCATACACTGCAGATGTCCCTGCCTTTTTGATGCATATTATAAAGTCAACAGCTTTGGGGGCTATACATAGTTATCTGGCTCTGACCCTACCAAGAAAGAAAAAGCTCCTCCTATCTGGTCCAGTTGTCTATATTTCCATAGGAGATGCATTTCTCATGCCAATCTGTTTGGAAGCTGTCACACACTTAATGCCATGTGCTGCCTCTTGAACCTTTATGGCTGATTCACACTGGCACTACTAACACACCAGATGAGATTAAACAAGGTTATTACAACAAAATACAAATAAAAAACGGCAGCTAAAGGCAGAATCAAAACACACAACTGAGAGCTAAATGTTCTGTAAAGGGCCTGGAGAAATACTGTAAACGGTCTTTGGCTTATAGAAAAAAATCTAGAAATTCCGCATCAGGTGAACCTCCCTAGAGACAGGATGTCACTATTAGTGCCACTAGGGAAGCGTACACATCATATCTCTGAAGCACATTCAAAGCTCAATCTTTTCTGCAAAGAATTCTGGGCACTGTAGTTTACCAGTCAGAGAGTTACAATTTCCAACAGCCTTTAAAAAACTACAGCACCCAGAGTTCTTTGAGAGGGGAGATGTGCTTCAAAAGTGTAGTGGCTCCCTCTCTACCTACCATATCTAGGTGCACCCGAAGAACAGACTCTGATGTAATGACAGGCTGATATGGAGGTAAGCGATCCTTCAGGGATTCTGGGCGGCTAAACATCCATACAAGTCTAAATTGTGTTCAGCTAAACATCCAGCTAAACATCCACACAAATCTAAATTGGGTCCAGAAGGCACACAAATGGTAGTGACAGGCAACTTTCCTTTTTCAAGCAACCACTGAAAAGTGTTTGAAGTGCTGTTTCCCTGGAACACACTTTGAAAACCCCCGAGACACCTAAATTTTACAAGTACAGTGGTACCTCAGGTTACATACGCTTCAGGTTACATACGCTCCGCTAACCCAGAAATAGTGCTTCAGGTTAAGAACTTTGCTTCAGGATGAGAACAGAAATCGTGCTCCGGTGGCGCAGCGGCAGCGGAAGGCACCATTAGCTAAAGTGGTGCTTCAGGTTAAGAACAGTTTCAGGTTAAGAACAGACCTCCAACGAATTAAGTACTTAACCCAAGGTACCACTGTATGGATGCCAGGATTTCAACCTGCCCTTACCATAATCCCTGCCCCATAATGACAGATGTGAAGGAAGCAAGGCTGATTTCTTAGTGAGCACTGAAGGACAGGCATTCCCTTTTATCAATTGCTTCACAAGTTCTGGGCAGAACCCAGATCGCAAGTATGTTCTGGAGTTGAACCTGGCTCTGGGGCTCTTTCCGACCGAAAGCTGAAAGGAGAAAGATTTTATGGTCCTTACCTGTCCCTCAGTTGCGCCGTGGGGACTTCCTGATTACAGTAGAGCTTCTCCAGATGATGCTGAGCTGAGAAACTGAAACTAAGCCACACTTTGTCTTTCTGGCGGCGCCACTGCCAGTGGTAGGGGAACGGGGTGTGATGGTAAGGGCACTTCTCCTGCAAATAGCAGCATCCCAGCAGAAAGTTGTCGCAGATCGGCACGCCGTTCTTCTGATGGACGTGATATAGCGGGGCGTCGTCTGTGCCAGATAGTTTCAGGATTGTAATGCCCAGCAACTCATCCTCCAAGAAGGTGTGGCCCCCCTCAGACACAGAGGACTCTGCACTTTCTGCCATCTGGGTGCAATTGAACTGCAGGATCCAAAGTGCACCCAGGCTAACACCAGGCAGGCCCCCCAGGAGAAGGGTCTTGCTTCTATCTCTAACATAAAAGATAAAATATCTCGTCGCCGCTCATTGTACGTATCAATCCCGTTTTCTTAAAACCAGGCAAATCCAGTGACCTAACGAAACATGCCTGCACTCTGGAAGTAAGTTTTACTTTCACTTTCTCATTCAGTCGCTTGAAAGCAGCTTCCAAGCAAGGCGGTTAGAGAGGCTACTGGTTTACTCTCTCTGCTGTTTCTGTGCCCAGCACACAGAAACTTAGCAGGTGAGGCTTAAAAATAGAGAGAGAGAGAGAGAGAGAGAGAGAGAGAGAGAGAGATGATAATAATATAATCACCATTATCATCAGTTCCCTCATTCATGCTCAGTCCCACTCACCTCACAGAGTGTTTGTTGTGGGGGAGGAAGCGACAGGCGAATGTTAGCCGCTTTGAGACTCCTTCGGGTAGTGATAAAGCGGGATATCAAATCCAAACTCTTCTTCTTCATGTCACTGCAAACTGTATGGGGTGGGAATCCAATGTAGGATTCGGATTTTATGGGCTTGTCTATATTTGAGCATTATTTAGCTGTTAATCCACTCCTCAACCCCATATTCAAATTAGACCAGAGTAGTCCACTCCGACTATTCTGGAATGTGAAAGCTGGACCATAAAGAAGGCTGATTGCCGAAGAATTGATGCTTTTGAATTATGGTGCTGGAGGAGACTCTTGAGAGTCCCATGGACTGCAAGAAGATCAAACCTCTCTTAAGGAAATCATCCCTGAGTGCTCACTGGAAGGACAGATCCTGAAGCTGAGGCTCCAATACTTTGGCCACCTCATGAGAAGAGAAGACTCCCTGGAAAAGACCCTGATGTTGGGAAAGATGGAGGGCACAAGGAGAAGGGGACGACAGAGGACGAGATGGTTGGACAGTGTTCTCGAAGCTACCAGCATGAGTCTGACCAAACTGCGCCTGGCGTGCTCTGGTCCAGGGGGTCACGAAGAGTCGGACACGACTAAACGACTAAACAACAACAACAGTCTACTCCGACACAAATTTGAATTTGGATATGAGGAGCAAGCCAGGTCTTTCCTGTTCCTATCAGTAGGTGTCTCTACTTTTTTTGTCCCTGCCTCCTCATTTGTTCATTTTATTATATCAATAAAGTCCTGTATGCAGATAGCTGTGTGGGTATGTTGATATTTTTTCCCCCTGCCCAAGAAGTGTGCCAAAGCACACAGTCAGGCAATTGTAAATATGCTTGTACAGTCGTACCTTGGAGGTTGAATGGAATCCGTTCCAGAAGTCCGTTTCGACTTCCAAAGCATTTGGAAATCAAAGCACGGCTTCTGATTGGCTGCAGGAAGCTTCTGCAGCCAATTGGAAGCCGCAGAAGCCCTGTCGGACGTTCGGGTTCCAAAGAATGTTCGCAAACCAGAACACTCACTTCCAGGTTTGAAGCATTCGGGAGCCAATGCACAACTATTCTTACTGAGCTTAAAAACAAAAGGTTGGATTTGTTGATATCTTGGGGTGGAGCAGGGGCTGGAAGCTGAAGAGGGAAAACATGAGAAGGGGATGTTTCGTTCATGATATCATGCAGATACCCTATAAAAAGTCAAGAAAATAAAATGCATTTATTCCACAGTAAATGACCAGAGTGGAAGCAGCCCTTTCATGGAGATTCAAGGAGGAAGAGTCATTCCCGCTACCCCCACAATAGACTGCAACCCCCCCCCCCCAGCTTCCCAGCTTTCATTTTTTAAAAGAATAAGGGTTCATTCATATTGTTGTTTCACGTAGCTAGTCCTGCATCTCCATTGATTCTCAGTTGACCATATGATGTTCACTTCCAAATCACTGCTTTCCCACACTTTTCCTTTCCTCAGTCTGGATTTTCTTGTACCAGAGATACTCTGAAAAGGAGAGAGTTTGAGAAAATCAGGATTGAGTATGGAGAAAGTGAAGGAAGGCCGCGATTTGGAGGAGAATGCCTTATGGACAATGGAGAATTAATGTACCGGAAACTTACTACCCACAATAAACAAGTACGGATGAGCCCCAAGTTTCTAGGATTTATAGAAATAAAGATATGTGGCAAAATGTACAGAGACTATTGTCTGTGCCATAAACTAGCCTGCTCCCCACCTTTGTTGTTTTACTTTGCAACTTCCCCTGGAAAAGTTCTTCCAGACATCCATGCTCCCTTTATTAATGTTGTTTCTTGTATACTTGGAATTACCCTGGGATCTTCCAATTGGGGTTATGTTTTTTGAGTGTGTGCTAAAATCTAAGCATGGCCAGATGCTAGAGCAACACTTTCCAGAAGCTTGGGTATTTCCTCTCTGTAAAAAGCATGAGAAACACCAGCAGCCACACCATTCTTGGCTGTTAAGTGGGAGCAACAGTCTTATTTTTCTAACTCATTGTGCAATCGACCCCACCGAACTTCTTCCATTTTGCAATCTAGTGGCACTATTGGCAAAGCTGCTTCTCCTGGCTTGCACTTGGCCCAGTGGCTCCTCCCCTGCCCACAACATCCTCTTTCAGTGAAGATGAAGCCAGTTCTGCAGGTGCCTCAACCATACGCAGTACATTTTTGTCAAGTACTTTCCTTATTTGCTAACTCAATTATTTCTAAAAAGCTAGACTACGTTTCTCCCAAACCACAGCAGTCCTGTTCTTTCTCAGATGGCTTCACTGTGTGAGGTTTCTAATTGCTGGTTTGTAGCAATCTTGAGAGTTTCCATTGAACATATGCAAGCTAACGTAGTGCTACTGTCTCACCTAACAATATCTTAAAGATTGACAGATTGGGGGAAATCTCTTGAGGAGCAGAGCTCAATGAATGACATGGGCTTTCATCCATGGAAGCTTATGCCATAGTAACTCTGCTGACTTTTAAGGTAACACACAAGTCTGTTATTGCTTTTCCTGCAACTGCCTGGCTGTGTAAAAGGTAAAGGTAAAGGACCCCTGACAGTTAAGTCCAGTTGTGGGCGACTCTGGGGTTGCGGCGCTCATCTCGCTTTACAGGCCAAGGGAGCCGGTGTTTGCCCACAGACAGTTTTTCTGGGTCATGTGGCCAGCATGACTAGGCCACTTCTGGCACAACAGAACACCGAAACCAGAGCAGCACACAGAAACACTGTTTACCTTCCTGCCAGAGCGGTACCTATTTATCTACTTGCACTTTTTGGCGTGCTTTCGAACTGCTAGGTTGGCAGGAGCTGGGACTGAGCAACGGGAGCTCACTCTGTCATGGGGATTCAAACTGCCAACCTTCTGATCGGCAAGCCCAAGAGGCTCAGTGTTTTAGACCACAGCGCCATTAATTTAAAGTACATTTCCCACATCTCAAAGAATCTTGAAAATTATAGTTTACTCCTCACAGAGCCACAATTCCTAGCACTCTCAACAAACTGCAGTTCCCAATATGCTTTGGGAGAAGTCATGTTCTTTAAATGTATAGTGTGTGTGCTTCCCGGGTCACATCTATCCCAAAGGAACTCATTGGAAAGCTGCTTCAAATTGAGTCAGACTATTGTTCCTTCCAGCCCGGGACTGTCCACAAGGGCTGGCAACAAGTTCCCAGGCAGGAGACATTCCAAACACTACCTGCAGATTGACTCTGGGACCTTTGCAAAGCAGATGCTCTTATGCTGAGTTATGGCCCATCTGCAACTTGAATTAAAGCTTATGATGCTCTTAGGGCTGGTATATAATCTCACCTCCCTCCATTACCTGGCTGCTACTCTCACCATTAGCTCTTTAAAAATGGAGTCATTCTGCTATGGAGCTCCTAGCACAGAAATGGTAGTCAGCTCTTAAGGCTCCAATTGTAACCTAACCCCAGTTACCTGGGACTAAGTTTCATTTAATTCAAAACACTTCTGAGCAGACCTGGTTAGAATTATGCTGTTGCAATGCAAAGGCAGAAATTAAATCAGAATTGACTAAAATTGACAAGCAATTTCTCATTGCACCTGACCTTTTGTTTGCCTTCAAACTGTAGCAGGACTTCAGAGCTGAGGGGAAGAAAGGCCATCAATGTAACTGAAATAAGAAATTGGTACGTATTTCCTTCCCACATCCCTGTAATAGCTTTACAGTTTTTGTGCAAAACTGGGTAAAATTGCTGAGCCTTTCACAAGTTTTTCTGGCCTTCTCTTTCTGTGAGCAGTGACAACAATGGGATGCAGGAGGTCTTCTATGAAAAGGGAGAGGTCAGTCAGAATTGCTTCAACACTGGTGTTTTGTTTTGTTTTTACAGGGAAAGGGTTGCCTGATTGAAGTGCCCGTAAATGGCAGCAGGGGTGAGAGGAGGGGCTGAGTTTCTCCAGCTTATTTCTCTCTTCTGAAGAATTCTAGTGAGTGCATGAAGACTAAAATTAAGCTCTGAATAGCGCTAAAAATCCCTTTTTACTGCTGCTGTTGTTGCAATGGCATTTCCAGGAATCCAGGGATAGCTCATGGGGCTTTCTCTCTGAAGTTAAAGCCGTCTGCCCTCTGGTGGTTGATTTCCAGGTGAACTCTTGCAGTGGCTCCTGTGGAGACAGCTGCTAGCTAAGCTTTGGATTTGCAGGGCAAGAAGGGTTTGGCCTGTTTGGTATTTGAACTAAAGTCCTTTAAAAAGTGGCAGGAGGTGGCGGCGGTGGCAGGGAGCAGAATGCCTAGCTCAGGTTTTAGGGCATTTTCACACATGGCAGGAGAAATGCCTCCAAGCCCATTTCTCACTATTTGCATGTGTAATAATAATAATAATAATAATAATAATTTATTATTTGTACCCCGCCCATCTGGCTGGGTTCCACAAAGACCAAAAATACACTAAGATGTCACACATTAAAATCTTCCCTGAACCTTAAGCCTTAAGATGTCTTCTGAAATTTTTTTTTTGTCAGGTAGTTGTTTATCTCTTTGACATCTGATGGGAGGGCGCTCCACAGGGTGGGTGCCACTACCGACAAGGCCCTCTGCCTGGTTCCCTGTAGCTTTGCTTCTCGCAATGAGGGAACCGCCAGAAGGCCCTTGGCGCTGGACTTCAGTGTCCGGGAAGAACGATGGGGTTGGAGACGCTCCTTCAGGTATACTGGGCCTGTGAATGAATGCTGTCAGTGCTGTTCAGAAGACAAAATGGATATATAATGCACATTTTAGCCAGTGAACAGTTTACAGAAAGCAGAAATGTGATATGCTTTGGTATCTTGTGTAATCACTGGTGGTTGGTGCCCACTGGACCTGGCAGGGCTGCTGGGAAGTCACAGAATGTGGCTAGTGAGGTCCCAGGGGTATGCCAAGTTCTGATTTTTTTTCTCCATCCTCTTCCCTTGTGAAGGACCCAACTAAACTAAAATATGTCTTACTTTGGTTTAGAAGGGGTCCCTGCTGTCATAGTTGCTTCTCTGCTGGGAGAAAAGTTGTGTGGATTCCACCTGTTCTGATTCTCTCCTTATCCTCCTCCTCTGAAAAGAAACAGTGGCTTTATCAACACTTTGCAGTTTTATTACTGCTTAACACCCAAGTCAGTTACCTTGGTTCAGGAGGGATTCCTGCTGTCGCCATTTCTAGTGTGGGTTCATTGCAGAATAACTGTACGTTGCTCACGGGTAAGCTGCTGTTCCCGTCAACTTGAGCAGTGTTTCCTAGCAAGAGAACAGCCATGTAACATGGTGGGTGTTTGTGTAGAAGTAAGTCACGCTGTGTTAAATGGGGCTTATGCCTATGCAAGCGCACAAAGAATTGCAGTCTTTACCCCACACGTTTAAAAGACGCCTGCTTCTTGGGAGAAAAGCAATGACAAACCTAGACAGCATCTTAAAAAGCAGAGACATCACCTTGCCAACAAAGGTCCGTATAGTTAAAGCTATGGTTTTCCCAGTAGTGATGTATGGAAGTGAGAGCTGGACCATAAAGAAGGCTGATCGCCAAAGAATTGATGCTTTTGAATTACGAAGCTTGAATCACGAAGAGTCGGACACGAATAATCTCTTCGTGACCCCATGGACCAGAGCACCCCAGGCACCCCTGTCTTCCACTGCCTCCCGCAGTTTGGTCAAATTCATGTTGGTAGCTTTGAGAACACTGTCCCACCATCTCGTCCTCTGTCGTCCCCTTCTCCTTGTGCCCTCCATCTTTCCCAACATCAGGGTCTTTTCCAGGGACTCTTCTCTTCGCATGAGGTGGCCAAAGTATTGGAGCCTCAGCTCCAGGATCTGTCCTTCCAGTGAGCACTCAGGGCTGACTTCCTTAAGAATGGATAGGTTTGATCTTCTTGCAGTCCATGGGACTCTCAAGAGTCTCCTCCAGCACCATAATTCAAAAGCATCAATTCTTCGGCGATCAGCCTTCTTTATCGGCAAGGTGATGTCTCTGCTTTTTAAGATGCTGTCCCATCAGATATCAAGGCACCTTTTAGAAGACACCTGAAGGGAGCCCTTTTAAGGGAATATTTTAATGTTTGATGCTTTATTGTGTTTTTAATATTCTGTTGGGAGCAGCCCAGAGTGGGCAGGGTATAAATAAATTATTATTATTATTATTATTATTATTATTATTATTATTATTATTATTATTCGAAGGCAGCTCTGTATAGGGAAATTATTTAATGTTTAATTTCCTATTATGTTTTCATATACATTGGAAGCCATTCAGGGTGGCTGGGACAACCCAGTCAGATGGGTGGGGTATAATAATAATAATAATAATAATAATAAGCCGTCCCTATTTTCATTGGAGAAATGTTGGAGGGTAAGCCCTGAAGAAGCCTGATTGCTTGATCACTTTTTGACCTCCTCACACCACCCCCAGATAAATATCATGGATCACTATGCCACAGTTAGGATCTCAGGGACTCCCACAGCCTGCAGTCACCATGGCAACAATTCTCCCATCAATCACAGACGCTCCGCGTTAGCCAATACCCGGAAAGAACCGTCATCGAATCTAATTTTCAGGAAACAATGGCACTTTATCCGGTCACGTGATGATGGCTGGTCCAATCGTTGCTCAGCAACGGAGCGCTCCAGCCGCTTCCTTGTTCACCATGGGAACTCTCCCATTCTTCCGGTCCTCACCTTCCTCAAAAGCAGGCTTCGGCAAGTGACCGACAGCCCTTTTGTCAAATCGCGGGCAAGAGGCGGGGTTTCAAGGTGAGCCACGCCCTCTCCCTAGAAACTCGCCGACTCGCTGGACATGAAAAAGGTAGGGAGGCGGGACGGGCAGGTTAGCCGAGGAAAGCGAGCACAAGCCAATGAGCGGCCGAGTTGGAGGGAGGGGGCGGGCTCTGGGGAAAAGATTGGCGCGGGGCCAGCCAATGCCGTTGGCAGACGCGGCTGATGCTCCACGTCGGCACCGGGGCGACCAAGATGGAGGCGCTGATCCTGGTAGGAGCCGAAGGGGCGAGGGGGAATTGCTGGGGGGCGCGCCCGTTACCATGGAGACGGGCAGGCGGACGGGACGCGGCCGGCAGGTTTCGGCTGGGGCCTCCTGAGGCTCGGGCTCGGTCCTTGGGGCGGGGCCCAGGCCCAGCTACCTGGCGGGGCCTCCAAGAGGCTGGGGCGGCCCGTATGGCAGACAGCAGAGCTGCCCCTGCGGGAAGGGGGGCTCTGGCGGCCGCTGAGAGGGGCCCGGGCCAGCTGCTCCTCACCTCACCCCGCCCTCTCTAGCCTTCCCAAGCGGGGCTTTCCGTCTCCTGAAGCGTGTAGGAGGGGTGTGAAACGGATTTAACTGCAGGCAAAGGAATTATTATTATTATTATTATTACTATTATTATTATTTATTATTATTTGTACCCCGCCCATCTGGCTGGGCTTCCCCAGCCACTATGGGCGGCTTCCACAAAGACCAAAAATACACTAAGATGTCACACATTAAAAACTTCCCTGAACATGGCTGCCTTCAGATGTCTTCTGAATGTCAGGTAGTTGTTTCTCTCTTTGACATCTGGTGGGAGGGCGTTCCACAGGGCAGGTGCCACTACCGAGAAGGCCCTCTGCCTGGTTCCCTGTAACTTGGCTTCTCGCAGCAAGGGAACTGCCAGGAGGCCCTCGGCACTGGATCTCAGTGTCAAGGCAGAACGATGGGGGTGGAGACGCTCCTTCAGGTATACTGGGCCGAGGCCGTTTATTTAGTCCATTTTATTGTGAAATCCTACTGTGGGGATTGATAGGAAAGGCAGGGGTAAAACGCTCGTTCCCATTCTGTGCCCTAGTAAAAGAAAAAAAGAACTTCCTCTGTGTACGTATGTGTGTGTGTGTGTGTGTGTGTAGGAAACGAAATGAAATGTCACGATGCAAAGTTTAATTTTGCAAACCATTAGATGGGAAGGAGGGAAGTCGCTAGGCTCAGTTGAGCCAAAGAGATAAACTAATAATAATAATAATTATTATTATTATTATTATTATTTATTATTTATACCCTGCCCATCTGGCTGAGTTTCCCCAGCCACTCTGGGCGGCTCCCAATCAAATGTTAAAAACAGTACAGCATTAAATATTAAAAACTTCCCTAAACAGGGCTGCCTTCAGATGTCTTTTAAATATAGGAGAGCTGCTTATTTCCTTCACATCTGAAGGGAGGGTGTTCCACAGGGTGGGTGCCACCACCAAGAAGGCCCTCTGTCTGGTTCCCTGTAACCTCACTTCTTGCAATGAGGGAACCGTCAGAAGGCCCTCGGCGCTGGATCTCAGTGTCCGGGCTGAACGATGGGGGTGGAGACGCTCCTTCAGGTATACAGGACCGAGGCCGTTTAAAATAAAATAAGAGGATATGATGTTATGTAATGTGATTATATGTAAAACCAATAAAAATTATTTATAAATGTGTGTGTGTGTGTGTGTGCACACTGGACTGCTTTCCTATTCCTGCAGGGATTCCTCATTGATCTGTAATGGTAGATGCATTTCCCTATAAGACAGGTTGCTGACCACTCCTGAACTTGACATGCAATGTGCAGCTGAAGAGTTCTGTGTTTTCCGATGCACTTTCAGTTTCCGCAGGGCTGATGTGAGGCCCATCAGGATTGGTTGGTGCCCTCTGTGAACCGAGTCCATTAACCCTTTTCCAAATGCCTCAGGGAGCAGAGGAAGGGGCCGTCTAATGAGTCAGACAGAGCATTGATCCATCTAACTGATGATGATGATAATGATAACTGAGCACTGTCAACACTGACTGGCAGCAGGTCTTCAGGGTTTAAGGCAGGGGGGATGCCAGAGATTGAATCTACGATTTCTGCAGGAATGCAGATGCTCTTCCACAGAGCTGCAGCAGGGGCTCACTGAGGTAGTTAGTGAGTGGAGTGTTCCTCTTCAGACTGCACACAAAAGCTTCCTCATGAAAAGAAAGGTCCTTGCCGATAGGAAATTAGTATGGTGGAAAACCAGAACTAGCGTTGTTCCAGTGTCACATAGTACTTGTTCTGCAGTGCTGAGAAATTGAGCAATATAGGCAGCACCTACACTTTGGAACTCCCTTCCTATTGACCTACCCTGCACTCTTTTCAGCACCTAGAACATTTTTCTTTAGGTGAGCCTATCCAGATATATAGCTGTTGACATGCTTTAAACTTTTGCTGCTATAAAATGTTTTTAATTGTTTTTACTGATCATTTTAATGTGGTTTTTTTGTAAATTGCTTTGAGGTTTTATTACAATCAAGTGATATATACATTTTGTTAAATAAAATCAAAATATAAATAATTATAATTATAAGACTAGATGTTGGGGGGAAGGCTTTGCTATACAACTGTTCACCTGGTCGTCTCGGCTTTATTATGAGGAAGGATTTTTTGTGTGGCTTTAGGAATATTTAGTCAGGTGGGGTCTGCACCTTTGGTCTGAAACTGTACAGCACAGACACAGGTTGGACACTTCAGTGAAAAGAGGCAGGCCAGAATCTGAAGAACTTGGCCCATTTTAAAAGGACTGCCCGTGCAGTTTTGTGTTACACATGAGGAAACTTGACTAACTTTACATGGGCTTTTTTTTTTAAAAGTGTGGTAGAGGGGGCTTAAATACCAGGCTCTGTGTTGCTAGTTGGGGCCATTGTGAATCTATGTCATGGGTTGGCAAACTACGGCCCGGGGGCCAGATCAGGCCCAATTGCCTTCTAGATCTGGCCCACGGATGGTCCGGGAATCGCCATGTGGATCGGTGTGGGGATTCTGATCATTCGGGCTGTGCCATTTCTCCCCCCCCCCCCACTGTGGCGGCGGCGCCTCCTCCCTCCCTCCCCCTGGCTTCTCCCCGCCCTGCCTAGAGGAGGAAGGGGGCTGGGCTTTGTTGGCTGAGCACCATTTTAAGCAGCCCCTCTCCGGAGCCAGCCCTTTCACGCCGCTCATCGTCCCTCCGCAGCCCCTGCCGCTCGCAAGCTCATCCGGTGCTGTGGAGAAGTGAGGGGATATGTCAGTGGGGAAGAATTCCCCCTCCAAAAAAAAAAATAGTATTGCCCCCCCCACGTCTGACAGACAGTCGGACCGGCCCCCTGCGAAAAAAGTTTGCTGACGCCTGATCTATGTGGTGAAAAACCATCCACTTATAGGAAGCGGCTGCCATTTTGTAGCATGTGCGATGCCACACTTATTTTGCAAGAAAGCCTTTTTGAACTCAGTGGGGCTGACTTTTTGGGACTCGGCTCCAAGGCATAGTACATCCAAATTGCCTTTTGAAACATTGGCTTACCAGGTAGCGGTGTGGTAGCCTTTTTTGAGGTTTTTAAAGACTTTGGTGATTTTTGAATCTTTTCCAAAACTTTCCCGACACCGTGCTTCGCAAGACGAAAAAAATCGCAAGACGACAAAACTCGCGGAACGAATTAATTTGTCTTGCGAGGCACCACTGTAGCTAAAATAGTTTTCTTACCTCCCCAGCCCACTCCTCCCTTCAAATAAAAACTACACAGAAGACCGGAGTCAGTTGGGAGAAAACTCCTCATCCCTGATTTTGGTGATTGATTAGATCCTGAATGTGAAGCAAACGCCATCCTCGGTCTTTTTTTTGGGGGGGGGTGTGGAGGAGTCATTTGTTTGCGATGCTCTTGGAGGAGTGGAAGATACGCTGACGCTGGGTTGAGGAACCTGTGGCCCTCCAGTTCCCATCAGCCTGGTCAGGAGTGATGGGAGTTGGTTGTTCCACAGCATCTGGAGGGGGGAAAGCAAAACCTTTTCTGACCCCAATGAACTGCAACTGGGATATCCAGTTATTTAAAAAAAAACTGCTTGTGCCAACACCTGCTGAGGAGAGGATTTGGGATTTGAATTTCTTTTTAAGTTCAGCAGCACAACTGCATTGGCAAAGACACCGGATGCCATTTTGCTGTGCAGCACGTGACTATTGCTAGGTTTGGTGTGGTGTGATTTGGGGTAGCAGGACCCTTGCAATATGCTTTCTCTCTTTGGAGGAAATGCCTTGGCTTGGCTTGCGAGCTGTGCATTCCCTAGATGGGAATAGCCCTGCCTTCTCCGCGTGGCTCTCCCAATTGCCTCTTGCAGATAAAACCCAGCACGGACATATTTCTTGCCGTCTCCTCTCCCTCGCCAAATGCTCCCCTTCCGCGAGGTCCTGGCAGCTGTAAAATCTTTATGGCAATGCTGCTGCTATCGTGCTGACCATCTGGGCCGTTGCACACCTAGTTTAATTGATTGAAGTTTAATTTATTGAAACTTCAGAATTAAATGATCAGAATAAACTGTGCAGTAACTCTTAACGTCTTGTTTTAATGGTTGATTGCTCGAGGCAGCCCTTGGCTTGAACTGGAAGCCCCCAGAGAGGAATTTATGCCGCTTCTGGCCTTCCAGTCAGCGCTCATTATAGATTTAAAATGTGTGTTTATTAGCTGCCTCTCCAGTAGAAGCTTGTCTCTCTGGCAAAGAGATGTATAAATTCTCCTCCGATGCTTGTATGGTAAGCATCTATTCTTACTCTCTTCGGAAGCAAGGCAGGAAGGAGATATGTGGCTTTTGCCCATCTTATCTGTGGCTTCATTCAATCTAGGTCAGGGATGGGGGTATTCCTCTGACAGTATTTGTATAGCAAATTGTCTGCTTAGCTTTGGGGCATTGACATGTTGCACTTACAATTTTCACAGGCCTTCA